TTTTTTTTTTTCCTTCTTTCCCCCAAAAAAGAGTAAATTTACAGGGTTCTTCAGCCTCATACTGTCAGCAGATTAAGTCATTTAGCAGGGCCTGTGCTTGGGTCCAGAAGTGCTTCACAGTCAGGGTGAACCAAAGAGATTCCCATTTTAACTTTTCATGTTAGTCAACTTCCCTTCTACAGCTTTCTTCCATGGATCTGTCTTTCCCTGAAGTAACATTGCTCTGGTCTCTGTGGTACCTTAAAACCTCTTTTGTTTTGTGTGGTTATATGTGGTGTTTGGGTTTTTTTTAAGCTAGTGGAAATAAGTGGTAGGGTAATAAGCTTCTCCACAGGTCTTGGTCCTAGATAAGTCTCTTTTTTGTCTGAACAATTGCTACTTAGTTCTCTAAACACTGGTGGAGAAAGTTGACAAGCTAGCATGTTCCAGGTAATCACACCATGTTCTGCACCTACAAAACTGCTGCTGTACACTGTGGATGGCAGCGTTCTCATCAGAGCAAGTGGTACTCAATTTATATCAAGTAATGCTGCTTCAAAAGATTTTTTTAGCCATAAGAATTTTTCCAATAGGATATTTAAATTCCAAAGCAAAAATGCTGAAAAAGCTGGTTTGTTTTTGCTAGCATCTCTTATTCTGTAGACTTACTTCTGCTTAATTGCACTTTACTTTTCAGGGAGAAGTATGGGGTTGTATAAATTCTTCTTTGCCAGGTAAGAAATACTAGCTTATTATTGAATCGTGATGTTTTTTCACCCTGTGCATGTTTTGTTGTTGTGTCTACCAGCTGCACCTATAGATTTCACAATATTTTAACTTCCATTATGTTTCCATTATAAGTTGTTTGATGTTTAGTTTCCTTAGTCTAAACTACGTTGCTCATACATTTTTTTTTTTTATACACTCACAAAGCCAGTCAGTTTTCAGTGAGTGCTGCACTATTTCTTTAGCTACATCAGCAGCCAAAGGAAGACTAAGGAAAACGAGGGCCTGTTGGTGAATGGGGCAGGAAACGTGGTGATGAATGACATTAAAAAGGCCATGGCCTTCTTTGCCTCAGTCTTTACTGGTAAGATGGGCCTTCAGGAGTGTCAGATCCCAGAGAGCAGTGGCAACATCCAGAGCAAGGAACACTTGCACTTGGTGGAGGAGGATCAGGTTAGGTAGTATATAAGCAAACTGAACACCAGTCTGTGGGACCTGATGGATACCATTGCAAGTCCTGAGGAAGCTGACCAATGCTATTGCAAGGTCACCCTCAGTAGTCTTTGAAAAGTCATGGTTAATGAGAGAGGATGCTGAGGGCTGGAAGAAAGCAAATGTCAGTCCTGCCTGTAGAAGCCTTTTATGGCTTTTCCTCACAAAATAATGCCACAAGCCATATTTTATTGTCCTTGCCAAGACAATGTTGTAGGCCTTAAATACTTTAGATATTCAAGAATGTAAGTACTCTCAGAAAGAAAATTATTTTTCCATGTTTTCTGAAGACAAGTATAATTACTTTGTCAATATATGTGTATTAAATCGCTTAGGCCTACAGAACATGGGGGTTTTTGGGACTTGTCTGGGAAATTAAAGTTTCTTTATGACCATGCACACATGATACTGTGAATGTGATACAAGAAACTGCTTACAAAAGCTGATTGAGGGACACCCAGCTGAAGTGGGGAGGAGAAGAATACAAGAAACCCTGCAACCTGTAGTTCTAGATTATAACTGTGTCCTGACTTAAAATTTTAAGCTTTATAATTTTCTGTAAGCAGACTGTAGAAGACTTCAAAGAGACAGCAAAATTCTGACTTGAGCTTTCTTGCATTCTTCATGACATATGCAACTCTTGAACACGAGAAGCCTAGGTGGTTTTAAGTTTCTTCTTTTTCCATCTTCTTTTTTGTTTTTCTCCCCAGTTTCCTTGGGATCACAGTGATCCAGAATTTCTCAGAGACTTTCAGAATGCAGAATGCTTCTCTCATCACAAAATAGATGTATCAGAGATGACATTCTAATTTTCCATGTTTATGTGGCTTTTTACGTCTGTTTCTAACTTCAGTACTCTTGTGGAGTCTGCAGTAAAATGTTTATAATAGGGAAGAAAAATGTGTGTGTGTTGTAAACCATCTCACTAATGTAATGTGGCTTCTAGAAATTTTTTGGAGGAGATGTGAGGAGTCAAGAGCTTATGTTGTGCAACTAGATGATCTTTATTGTTCAGGGATCTGTACTGTACTTCTATGAGTTAATTTGGTGAATAATCAGAAATATGGAGTCCAGTCGATTAATTGTGCACTGAAGGTGTATTTTCATCTAGAAATGTGTGCATTTTAATGACCTTGACTACAAAATTATTTTATAAATTGCTATATTAAAATTACTGTTCAGTGTTTTTGAAGACACGGCATCAATTTTTTCTCCACGAGCTTGTCTGCCACTTGTAAATCTCTTTGGGGGAGGGCCACTTGCCAAGAAAATACTAACTGTGGCTGAGACTTACCAGCATTCTTAAGCTGGCATGTAGCTTGGTTCATTCTTTTAGCACAGTTTAGTTCCAGTAAAAGTATGTTTGAAAAGCCCAGGCTCTCTATTGCGCAAAACAGCAATTGCTACTGCTTGATTATTTGGTGGTGATTCACTGGTGACTGTTCAGTGGTGAAATTGCCCCTAAAGCTGTACAGCTGTATTTGTCATGAGTTTCTCCTGGATATAGCTGGTTATTGCAGCAGAGATTTCTGGAACTCTTGTTTTCGTATTGCACATGAAAATTCTTTGATGTTTTTCAGAGTGCTTGTACCTTACTATATCAATCCTACTAATAAATATTCTATGGACTGTTACTGTTTTGACTGAAAGGAGTCTGTGTATAAGCTCCTCATGTGAAAGTTATGCAGAAACAACCACTACATTATTTTAGTCCTAAACCAGAATGTAGCCAGGGGTTGATTCTGAAATTGTCTTTTATGTGTAGCTGAACATGTATGTGTCACTTCCACGTAGATATGCATTTACTTCTGGAATTGGTTTTAAATAGTGCATCAAATTCCAAATTTTTCAACACTGATTACAAATGACTGATGTGTGCACAACAGCTGTCTCTTTAACACTTTCAAAAAGATGCTCAATCTCTGAAAAAACTTAATTCTATACTCTAATTATGAAGTGGAAAGTGAGCTGAATTTGCAGTTGATTGTGGCCTTCACAGCCTTTGAAGTAGTTTGGTGTGGAGAGGTGAGCCACTACTCTGAATAGATGTAAAGAGGATTTGGACAGTTTCTAGAAAGACCAGTAAATCACTGGCCAACAGTACTTCTAGAAGGTATGGACCATTCAGATGGTACATGGCCACTTCAGAATGACAGAATGCAGGTTGTGGCCCAAAGCTGTTCTTCACCTTTGCCTCTCTTCTCTCTCTACCACTGTGCAATCCTGCTTTCTTTCTTGTGTAGAGCATTAAGGTTTTAACCTGCATTATGATATTTTACTAATAAATTGATAATATTTTTATTTGCTGTGAAAATAGGTTCATTTAGCTAAAGATTTTGTTCCTCTTTTATAAATATACTATTAGTGTGTTTTCTTAATTTGCCTATCAGAATGTCATGACTCTCTATGCCACCTGTTTTTGAAAAGCTGAAAAAGAGTATGTTAAAGCTATTTTGTTCATGATAAATACCTACTGGTGATTGTTTTCCATTGATTGCAATGATTTTTTATGACTTTTTGCCAATATTTTATTAGGATCTGAATTTAAGCTCACTGGTCTCATTGCTAGCTCTTTCACTTCCCTGTTTTTAAAGCTGGACATCCCATATGACTTTTCTAAATAGGCATTTCTGCTAGACTTAAGAGCATTTTTTTAAATTAAGTGGTTGATTCTTTTACTTCCTACCTTTTATTTCTACATAAAGATATAATTTTTGCATGTCCTAAAATACTACTTTATTTTTTAAATTTTTTAACAAAAATTAGTGGTTCATTTGAGCTAAGTAATTTCACCCCCTCCCCTAAGAAAAGTGTAATAAATTTGCCACAACTGCTGGCTAGGTTAAACTTTCCCTTCAATTATTTCTTTTAAAGTTATGTGAGAATCATAAGAGTTGTTTAAATTGGAAAAGATCTTCTAAGATGGAGTCCAGCTGTGAACCTGGCGATGCCAATCCACCACTGAAGTGCGCCATTAAGCACCACAGCTACATGTTTTTTAAATACCTCCAGGGACAGCGACTTTACCACTTCTCTGGGCAGCCTGTTACAGTGCTTGGTAACCCTTTTGGTGAAGAAATGTTTTCCCATATCCACTCTAAACCTCCCCTGGCACAACTTGAGACCATTCCTTGGGAGAAGACACCAACATGCATCTCGCTACAACCTCCTTTCAGATAGTTGTGGAGAGTGAGAAGGTCTCTCCTGAGCCTCCTTTTCCCCAGGCTGAACAACCCCAGTTCCCTCAGCCACACCTTAGAAGTCTTGTTCTCTAGACACTTCACCAGCTGTGTTGTCCTTTAGACACACTGTAGCACCTCAGTGTCTTTTCTTGTAGTGAGGGGCCCGAAACTGAACCCAGTGTTTGAGGGGAGGCCTCAGCAGTGCCGAGTGCAGGGGGACAGTCACTTCCCTAGCCCTGCTGGCTGCACAGTTGCTGATAGAAGCCAGGGTGCTGATCACCGCCTTGGAGAAATTTCTTGGAGTAGGGAGCTAAGCACCATGCAGCTGTTTGCTCACTTCCCCACCAGTGGGACAGGGCAGGGGATCAGAAGGGTAAAAGTGAGAAAACTCATGGGTTGAGGTAAAGACAGTTTATAATTTAAAAAATTTAAAAAAACAACCAAAGGCAAGAAAACAAATCATGCAGAAGAAAACAATTGCTCACCAGCAACCAACCGATGTCTAGCCAGTCTCCAAGTGCTGGCAGCCCATGCCAGGCCCTACCCCACAGTTATTTTGTTGGGAATGATCTCATATGGTCTGGGAAATTCCTTGGCTCAGTTGGGGTCAGCTGTGCCCACTGTGTCTCCTCCCAGCTTCTTATGCACCCCCAGCCTACTCACTCGCAAGTCAGTATGAAGAGCAGAAAAGGCCGTGGCAGTGTGTAAGCACTACTTGGCAATAGCTGAAACATCCCTGTGTCAGCAACGCTGTCTTCATCATGAGACCAAAATGCAAGTCCCATCCTTGAAGAAAATTAACTCTGTCCCAACCAAAATCAGTACAGGAAGCTTGAAGAAAAAAGTAAGAAACATATTCTGCATTGACAAAGTTTGTAGAAAAAAATGCTATTGAAACCAAGGAGAGGATGTTTCTCTGGGAAATAATGTTGTTAATAAGTTTGTTTGTTTGTTTGTTTTCCTGTTGGTTTCTGTTGTGTTATATTTCAGAATCAATAAACCAAACTGTCAAACTCTCTTACTTACAGTGAAAATACAGAATGGTTTGCATAAAGCTTCTTTAAACTCAGTGTATAAAAAGCACTTTGTAATTGCCAGCTTCAGCTTTTATTAAGGCACAGATTTGCTCTTTTCATGCTTTAAGTTGGTTTGAAATTATTTCATAGGTTCCAACAAAAATGTAATCTGTAAATAAACATCCTGAATGAGAACAGGATTATTAAATTTTCAAAGTAACTGACTTACAGGGAAGGAAGGAAAAATGATGGCATAGTTTCTCTTTCTGCTGTAATATGTATTTTCACCTTCTTTTCCAAGGAGTTTTGAAGAAGTCTGACGGATGGGTTGGTTTAGGTTGCTGTGAGCTAGCTATTGCTGTGGAGTGTCGGCAAGCATGTAAGCAGGTGAGGCTTCTTTCTCATTGTTTTTCTGTGGCTAATGGCAGGTGCTGCTGTGCTGAAGTCATTTATCTGTTACTGTTTACAAACTTCAGGCGCAATGCATTTTTTTCCATCAAAATTAAATTATCACGTAGACTCTTGTTCTATCCCGGTTAGAAGGCAGAATTGTGTCCCATCTCCCTTATCCCTCAGTTTTCCCAGATAGAGAGGTAAATAAGAAAGGCGGGGGTAATGAAAACCTTGCACTGAATTGAAAATTAACAAAATGAAATATCTTATTTAATGGGGAACAGAAAGGAAGAAGGGTAGGGGTTTAACAGGGTAAGGGGGGTTTCAGGAACAACAAGGCAAGGAAGATTAAACTTCCAAATATACAAAACCCAAATGTTGTGCTGAGGCTCCCCAGTGCTGGATCTCGCTGGATTCAGATGGATTGAAGCTGGATGCACAATCCTTGGACGTGGATGGAGGCAGGGAATCAGTCTGTAGATCAGGCCCAGGTCTCCAAGATGGCCACAGCCACGTGTAGCACAGGGAGCAGCAGAGCAGTGTGTGTCTGGGTGAAAGGTCAAAGGAGCAAGAGAAAGAGCCATGTCTTCTAGCCCCTTTTATAGACCCCAGCAGGAAGTCCCAAAGACAGGAAGAGGGGAGTAGAAATAGAACAGGTATATGCCCCTTTCATTCAGGCTTGTACCTGGTATTAGGTTTCAGATCTCCTCCCACCAGGGGCAGCAGGTTTCAAACCATTACAACTCTTTAATAAAAATTGCAAAATATGACTAGATATTTCCAAGAAAATACTACTGGTGATAACTACCAGCAACCAGCTTCCAAAAACCAAAACAAATAGTCTATGGTTTTGAATTTAAGTTTTCAATTAAAAATTTTCATTTAAAAAGTAAGGATTCAAGTCAACTGAGATGAAAACCAAGTTTAAAAAAAATTGATGGGTTTGGGGAGTATGGGGGGTATGTATTTTCAGGTGTGCTGTAGGATTGGGCTGCTGAAGAAGAAATGTTAGTACAGTGTTATCTGTGCCTTTTTGGTACATTGTGGTGCCACTTTTAATGGCTCAGTAATGAAGATACAGTTAAGAGGAAATCTTACTGTGCTTATAAGTGCACAGTTTACAAGAGTTTCTAAGGAACAGAAATTCCTTAACCTCTGTTTATTGCAGTGTCTTATGAAATTTTGTTAATTTAATCTTACGATTGTTATTTCTCATTATTGTCAGGATTAGATTGATTGCAGATTCTGATGTCTCAGAATCTTGGCTTTAATTTGTACTTTAGCCGACTCTGGTTGATGTATTTAAAATTATTTTAATTTAAACTACAGATACTTGCCGAAAGTTAAAGAAAGGGGAGGTATATGGTTTTTAGTTTTGATACTTGAAACTTGAGGGGGTTTTGGAGGCATTTTGAAGAAGGTGATATGATAGATCTGAAGTCAGGCTTTACCCTGATATTTTAAATTACTGGAGAGGGAAGTAACTAATGTTAGTAGTAATAATAGTTTTGAATATCTATCATTTGAAAAAGGAGCAAGAGATATTCTACAGAAGAAATCAATTGCAGGTTGAAGGCAGGATTTCTGCAACTCAGTTTGACAATAGGAACTGACAATAGGAGGAGAAGTAGGGAAA